AATCAAACACTACTGGATATGCTCCTACTAGCAAATCTGAGAAAATTCGGCATCCATGACCCCAGACAGACAGTAAATAGGTAAATAAATAAGCCTACGGGCAGAGCGCATCAGGGGTCTTGCTTATGGTAGAAGGCAACTATGGAGGAAGTGCTAGAGTTGGAGAATCATCCTTTTGCAAATATTATAGTAAATATTGGCTCAGGCAAGAATCATCAATGACTGCTAAATTGAAGGGGAACTTTTGATGTGGAATAGGATACATGCATGGTGTTAAAGTGTTCCCCTGAGACTGCTTATTAATTACAAAAGAGAAAAATTGTAACTACATAGTGGAGAAATGGACCATCACCTGACCAGGTAATTAAAATGAACATCATCAATGAAGGGCAGATGGACATCGTGTACTTCCAGATGTAGTGCTCTGAGAAGGACACAACATTACTAACGAAGGATTCTGGTTTGAAATGCATAGCCTGAATCTATCCATGGGGAAACAGAAAGACACCAAATGGGGGACATTCCATATTTTAAAAACTGATTGGATTGTTCAATATGTCAGTGTCATAAAAGATAAAGAAAGAGCAGAAATATTTCAAATTAAAGGCCTCTAAAGAGACGTGACAATAAAATGCAATAACAGATCCTAGACAGAGGCCTGTACTTGAGGAAACACAATGATATAAAGGACGTGATTGTGTCAACTGACAACATTGGAAAATGGATGGTAGAGCAGAAAAAGTAGACTGTCAATGTTAAATTTGCTGACGCTGATAACTATACTGTGGTTATATAAAAGAATATCCTTATTCTCAGGATACAGACACTAAAGTGATTAGGGATAAAGGGCTATAATATATGCCACTTATTTTCAAGTAGTTCAGAAAAAATATATATTGTGAATAGATAAATAGATAATAAGAATAATAAAGCATATGGGAAAAAATGCTGACTATAAGTGAATTTGGATAAATGATGGGTATTTTAACACCTAAGTGTCATGTTTATTTCTACAACTTTTGGGTAAATTTAAACTTATTTCCAGTAATTTTTTTTTAATGGGGACTAAAAACTACTAGACATGAGAAGAAGCAAAGACACGTGATCCAGAACCACCAAAAAAGTCAGTCATCAGAAAAATACCCAGAAATAACAGAGATGATAGAATCAGCAGGCAAAGACATTTAAAAAGCTGTTATAAACATGCTCAAGAGTTTAAAGGAACAAATGAGGA